ATGCCACTACTGACCCTACAGCAATTTAAAGGATTATAAGAGAATACTATGAACAACTGTATGCCAACAAATTGGACAACTCAGATGAAATGGAAGAATTTCTAGAAAGATACAAACTATTATACCAAAAGTGATTCAAGAAGAAATAGAAAATCTTTATAGACCCACAGTAATTAAAGAAATTGAACTCATAATTTAAAATATGGCCACAAAAAAAGCCTGGCCCACGTTTTCACTGATGATTTCTGTCAAACATTTTTTAAAAAGCAGTATCAATTCTTCACAAACTCTTCCAGTAAAAGGAGTAGGAGGGAATACTTCCCAGTTTATTCTGTGGGTCTCATATTGCCCTGATGCCAAAGCCAACGCCATGCAAAAACCTGCAGAGTAACACCTGAAAATAAATTAATAGACAATATTAATAGGATAAAGGACAAAAGCTCCACGATCATCTCAATAGATACAAAAAAGTATTTGACAAAATCCAGTAGCCATTTATGATAAAAAAAACCTCTCAAATTAGGAATACAAATGACCTTAATCCAATAAAGTGTGTCTACCAAAAGCCTACAGCTAACACCCTAATTCATGGGGAAAGAATGGATGCATTTTCCATAGATGAAGGATGAGACAGGCGTGTCCACTCCTGCCGCATCCACTCAGGGTTGCAGGGAATTTCTAGCTAGTCCAATAATGAAAAAGAAGGAGGCCCAGATTGAAAAGGAACAAGTAAAACTGTCTTTATTCACATGATAAATGGCATGATCCCGTACATAGACAATAGCAGGAATCAATACACAAAAGCTATGGAACTCATAAACAAGTTCAGAAAGTTTGAGGTCCAAATATTAAAATATAAAAAGCAATTGTACTTTTATATATTAGCAATGAGCTATCTAAAAATTAAATCCAGAAAATTTCATCAAAGAGAATAAAATGCTTAGAAATGAATTTAACAAAAAATGTGCAAGACTCAAAAACATTATTGAGAGAAATTAAAGAAGATCTAAATAAATGGAGAGACATTTCATATCTATGAACTGGAAAACTCAATATTGTTAGGATGTCAAATCTTCCCAAATTGACCTATAGATTCATTCTAATCCTGTTCAAATTCCAGGAGGCCTTTTTGCAGAATTGATGAGCTGACTTAAAAAATTATATGGAAATGCAAAGGCCACAGAAAAGCCAAAACAATTTTGAAAAAGAACAAAATTAAAGAACTACACTTCTAGCCAGGTGTGGTGGCTCACACCTGTAATCCTAGCACTCTGGGAGGATTGAGCTTGTTTGAGCTCAGGAGTTACATACCAGCCTGAGGAAGAGCAAGACCCTGTCTCTACTAAAAATATAGAAAGAAATTACCTGGACAACTAAAAATATACACATAAAAAAATTAGCTGGGCATGGGAGCATGCCTGTATTCCCAGCTACTCGGGAGGCTGAGGCAGGAGGATTGCTTGAGCCCAAGAGTCTAGCTCTGCTGTGAGCTAGGATGAGTCTATGGCACTCAAGCCCAGGCAACAGAGTGATACTCTGTCTCAAAAACAAACAAACAAACAAACAAACAAACAAACAAACAATCTACACTTTCTGGCTTCAGAGCTTACTGAAAGCTATAGTAATCATGACAGTGTGACACCAGTGTAAGGAAAGACATAGATTAATGGAACAGAATTGATAGAAAAATTCTTAAAATTGTGATCACTTTATTTTCATAAACATGCAAAGGAAGTTTTCTAGGGAAAAGATACCCTTTTCAATGAATGAAGTTTGTTTTCAACAAATGATAATTGGATATCTACATGCAAAAAGATGAATTTAGACCTTCATGTTACACCACAGACAAAAAATAAATCAAAATGGATCATAGACCTAAATGTAACAGCTAAAACTATTAAACTTGTAAAAAAAAACCAAAAAACAAAAAAACAGGAAATCTTCATGACCTTCGGCAATTTAGTGGGGAAAGCCTTGTATTTTAAACAAATGATGGTATAGCATTTGGATATCTAGATGAAAAAAGATGAATTTGGATCCATATTTCACTTTATGTACAAAAATTAACTCAAAATATAGACACAAATGTAAAACCTAAGGATATGAAACTCCTAGGACAAAACACAGAAGAAAATCTTTGTGACCTTAAGTCAGGCAAAGGTTTCTTAGATACAACATGACAAGCACAATCCAAAAAGCGAACAAACTGATAAACTGAACTCTACTAAAATTAAAAACTTCTGCTCTTCAAAAGATACTGTTAAAAGAATGAAAAGCCACAAAACAGGTAGAAAATATTTGCAAAACATATATCTGATAAGTTACTTGTGTTCATAATATAAAAAGAATTCTCAAAATTAAATAACAACCCAGAAAGCAATATGGAGATACCTTAAAGCGATACAAGTGAATCTACCATTTGATCCAGCAATCCCATTGCTGGGCATCTACCCAAATGATCCAGTGACACTCTACAAAAAAGACACCTGCACTCGAATGTTTATAGCAGCACAATTCATAATTGCAAGGCTGTGGAAACAGCCCAAGTGCCCATCAATCCAAGAATGGATTAATAAAATGTGGTATATGTATACCATGGAGTACTATTCAGCTCTAAGAAACAATGGTGATATAGCACATCTTATATTTTCCTGGTTAGAGCTGGAACCCATACTACTAAGTGAAGTATCCCAAGAATGGAAAAACAAGCACCAGATATATTCTCCAGCAAACTGGTATTAACTGAGTAGCACCTAAGTGGACACATAGGTGCTACAGTAATATGGTATTGGGGAGGTGGGAGGGGGGAGGGGGGCGGGTATATACAAACATAACGAGTGAGATGTGCACCATCTGGGGGATGGTCATGATGGAGACTCAGACTTTTGGGGGGAGGGGGGGAAATGGGCATTTATTGAAACCTTAAAATCTGTACCCCCATAATATGCCAAAATAAAAAAAAAATGTTAAATATAAAAAAAAAAAACAACCCAATAAAAACTTGGCAAAGATTGACAGATACCTCACCATATATATATATATATATATATATATACATATTTGTCTCATTATATGACAAATAAGGGTGTGAAAAAACATGTCCATTAACTGGTGAATGGATAAACAAATTGCAGTATAGCCGTACAGTGGAATACTACTCAGGAGTAAAAGGGAATGAACTATGGATATACGTAATAACATGTGTGAGTCTAAAAATAATTATGCTGATTAGAAGCAGAGTAGATACTGTTTAATTCCATTTTTATGAAACTCTAGAAAATGAAAACTAATCTGTAATGATACAAAGGAGACCAGTGGTTATCTGGGGATAGGAGTGAAAGGAAGGGAGATTACAAAGGGGTAGAAATAAATTTGGGGGTGATGGATGTGTTCCCTGTCTTGATTGTGGTGATGGTTTCCCATTTATATATATTTCTCAAAACTTGTCAAATTATACACTTAAATCTGTACAGTTTATTGTATGTCAGTTTTACCCCAAAACTATTTTTTAAATTGGGCATGTGTTTTGCATATCTTTGCTTTTTTATTTCATTTTTCTATGAACTTCTTTTAAGGGCATAATGAAATGAAAATTGATAGTTTGAAGGCACAGTTTGAGAATACTGTTCTAAGAATTTGCGTGTGGGAAAGAGGGTCGCTTTAAGAGCAATCACAGATTTTGGTAAGTCAAGAATGCATGTTGAAGTTCCTTGAATATTCATTAAAATAAGAGACAAACCGTATGTAGCTTCATAACTAACAGAGGGTTAAAATGGAATGGAAAAAACAGCTCCTAATCCAAAGAAAGGTGAGAAAGGAGAAAAAAGACAAGTAGAGGGCACGGAGGCAGGTGGAGGGCCTTGGTCCGAGTGATGGCATTAAATGTAACCTGCTAAATGGTCCAATAAAAAGATCAAAAATGTCAGACCTATTAAAAATTATGTTTACAAAGTACAAATAGAACACACTGGATATAGAGAATTTGAAAGTAAAGGCATAGAAGTTATATCATGCCACTACTAACCGAAAGAAACCTGATACAGCACCAGTGGACTAACATTAAGAGAAGACTTTCAAGGCAAATTATTTCTGGAAATAAAATTGGCCAGCTCATAATGATAAAAGGATGATGCCACCAACAAGATAATAGCAGTGAGAAATGTGTATGTTCCCCTAAATGTGACCTCAGCATAGTAAAATAGATTACTTTTTAAAAAGAGGGCAAAAATTGATAAAAATGCAACAGAAATAGGAGAGATAGTAAAATCCATGATCTGTGGGAGCTATTAAAATCACTTTCTGTCAAAATAATAGAAGACAACAAAGTCCGGATACAAAATATCTGAGTAACAAATTAGCAGACTTGACATAACAGGAATCCATAGAGTCCTATACCCAACAGCTGGAGTCTGTGTTCTTTAGGGGTGCATGGGAGACCACACAGCCGGGACCACGGAAGTCCCCGCCTCCCCAGCACCTGTGACAGCGACACCGGCCAGTGACACCTGAGTTTCCTCTAGAAAGGAACACGGAGTACAGGTGGACCGAATTTTGGAGTACAGGCCTCTCGGTTAAATTTGAATTTCAGAGAATCAAATTATTTCTTAGTGTGTCCCATTTTTACAGTAAAAAAGTATTTGTTGTTTCTCTGAAATTCAAATTTAACTCGGTGTCTAGCATCTTTTCTGGAAACAGAATCACAGGAGAGAGGGCTGCGGTCGGGGAGCGGGCCCTGGATGCTGCGTCTGTCCGAGTTCAAGGCTGGACCCGGCTCTGGGCTCAGTCCTGTCACGTGCAGAGCCAACCCCGTGCGAAGCTGGGAGAGGCGACCCTCTTCTGGGTGCCTCTTGCCTTCCGCACAGCCCTACCTTGAGCAGCGGTGGTGGCTCAGACTCCCTGGGGCTCCCCCACCTCATGGCCTCGCAGCTCAACCTTCTGTTCCGCCCAAGGCAGGCTGGGGTGCGGCCAAGTATAGTCAAGGTAACAAACAAACACAGGCATGATTTGCAAAAACACAGACATTTTAACTTTAATAAGTTATAAAAGTAAGTCAAATGTTACTATATAGAACAAAAATGTATTGATTGCTGTTATCAGTAAGATAAAATTTTGATTCTAGTTCAGCACCTTGATGATTCAGTACCATGGTTACCTGTCATACAGGAGTAAACAGAATCATAAATGTTTCATCTGACAAAGATGTTGCTATTGAGCACCATTTATATACTCAAAACAAACAAACAAAACCTCAAAATACAAGCGAAAGGCTTATACATGAAATTCCATGGGTTTTCCAAAAGGAGTAAATCAGAGAGCTAAATTCCAAAAATCGAACACGCATCTGCCCACAAATGAGGAGAGGAGGGACTCTCAGGCACCCCGGATGCTCTTCTGTTGCTGCAGACGGTCTGAGTCTCATGGCGTTAAGAACTCAGCTGGAAGCCACTGCTGCCTCTGGGTGCCAGGAGTCCCTCAGATGCATAAGCTGTCTCAGAAAGGCCAGGACTGTTTCCAAGCAGGTTCTCCAAGTGGTCTCAAGCTCAGTGGAGAGTTGCAGTTTCTCAGGTCCCCGTGAACACTGAGTTCCTTGGACAGAGAGACCTCTCAGGACCATCTAGCCCTAGAGACCTCTTCAGATACAGGGCTCAAGGCATTGAGATGGCACCTGGGGCCATGGCCACACTGGCCTACACTTCCCAGAGTAGGGCAGGTGCCCAGGCAATGGGCTACCCAGGGCCTCTTTGCAAAGGCTTCCAGCCCCAAAACACGAGCCCTGCTTTGCCGGGATCCAGGAAGGAGCACTCTCATCCTGACAGTGGGTAAACCGAGTAATGCTCTCTGGCTGGCGTTAGTCCTGACTTTCCTGCACGGACTGGGACAGACCCCAACAGAGACTGCCCATGAACAGCACCAGCTGTCCTGGTTTCGGCAAGTGATGGAGAGCCGCGGGCTTCACTCACTAACTATGGAGAGGCAGGACTGCAGACGTGCTCTAGACCACATCTTGTAAAAGAGATTGTAAAAAAGATTCAAAGAGGTTTTCTCCAGTCTGGTTCTTCGGGAGACACCAGGACAGGGTGTGGGCGTGTGTGTGGTGGCGGAGGGGTGGCTAGTCACTACCTGGGGGGACAGTTAAACGTCGCACCAGCTTCTGTTCTCGCTGGCCCCCTCCCTAGCTTGTTCCCTGCCCCCCCCATTCAGACAGCAAGTGCTCTCAGCCCTTCAGCCCTCAGGAGAGAGCAGCACTGCGGGGCGTCCTGAGCGCCGTGTGCCCGCCCGCGCAGTGGGGTCCGTGAGCCGCAGCACGCAGCCTCTGGCACGCTGCGGGCCGGAAAGCTTCAGGACTGTCAGCCTGGCCCACGGAGGAGTTGCCGCGCCCCGGGTCTTCTGATTTGGAGACGCTTCAGCTGCGTGTTCATGAAATGCCAGTGCGGTGAGAGGTAACGACTAGCCACCTGTCTCCCGCCCCCACTCCTTTCCTCCTGCTTTTCTTTTTTATTTCAATCTTTCTCATAAAAGCCATTTTGCTGAAAATGGAAATCGTTAAAAGTTTCGAAAGACCGAAAGGTAAAGCAGGCTCTTGCCACCTTCCTCTAAGCATCCCGCCAAGGCCAAGCCTGGCGCTTCACTGCTGGGTCCTGGGGCCTCTTGGGGACAGAAGTGGGCCGTGGGGCTGGACAGGAGCCACCAGCAGGCAAGCGAAGCTGGTCTTCAGGAGCTAAGTGGAGCCGCGAAGCCCAGGCCTCAGGACGCCGGCCGGGGCGGCAGCGCTGGCCTCTCTGGGCAGGGAGATGTCGGGCTTTGGACAGCTCGCCGGGCTTTCCCAGCAGGCATGTGTCTCCCGCATCCTTCCGGGGCACCTGGGGAGGGAGAAGGCTCTCTGGGGACGCCCGCGGCCCGGCTGCCAGAGGGGCGCCCACAAGGCCAGGGCTAGCAGGGAGGGAGAGGCTGGGACAGCGCCCGTGCCTTCTGGGCACAGCCGTTCGGGCCACCCTCACGTCTCTAGTTACAGGGTCTCATCACCCGGGGAAAAGGACGGCCACACGGCGAGGCCAGGTCGGCGTACTCAAATGCAGTGCAACGTGAGCACCACACGAGCCGGGAGACTTCTAGTCCTCAATTAGCAAACTGCTTTAGGCCAAGCCTGAGACCAGAGTGGCAGCCTGACGTCTAAAGCCCGACAGGCTCCCAGACCCCCTGGAACACTTGGAGTTGACCTCTACAGATCGCACTTTCGCGTGTGAAAATCTAGACTTCTCCAGATGTGCTATCTGGCAAGGCCAGGGGCGGCGGAGAAGAGAGACAGATTTCACAGGGCAGCAACGACCGGAACTGACGACCAGGTTTAGATGGGCGTGGCTCTCAGGATGGTCACAGTCCCCGGCCGGCCACTGCCCTCATCCTCGCCACCTACCTGGCCCGTGAAGGCGTCTGCGTTCCTGACCTCCAGTTCGTGCTACTCATTTTGGCAACGGGTCGGCTGCTAAGTGCTTGCTCTGGGGATCGATGGGAAGTGCCCTGCGTGAGCAGGCAGGACGACGGTTCCCAGTGCCGCTCAGCAACCGGGGCCAGCGTCACCCTGCCCCTGCCCGGCAGGGTGGGACCTCTGTGTCTCGCCGCTCCACACCAGCGCCGCTGAGGAGCACGCGCTGGCCTCGCCGCCGTGTCCACATTTCTATGTCATTTCTCCTCTTTGCTTTCTCTAAGCCTTTTGGCATCAGGAATTTTGGCTTCATCTTCATGACGTAGGAGGTGCTATCCCATGGAATATCCGTATAAGCGGGGGTGCCATCGGCGCCATCTTTCTGTTTTGTTAGAGCTTCCCGAGCATCTCCTTCTTCCGCATCTCGTCAATGAGCTCTTGGATTCTTTGGTTTCTGGTCTTCTCATACGGGCTCGGTCGCCGAGGGATTAGGTTGGGCGGCTGGACTTCATCGTCCAGGCTGTGGATTTTGTAGGGTACATCTACAGCATTGGTTTCTGGGTGGTCCTCAGTGCCATTGGTCCTGGAGGCGTTGGTGGGGACCTCCAGGGGGGTGCCTGGCGAAGGCGGCACCTCCACGACCACAGTGGGGCCGGGGAGAGTGGGCATAAACACTTCGATGTCGTTGTGCTTCCCAGGCGGTGGCTGGATGCCGCCCCCCACGCTGGTGAGGTTGTCGTGCAGGTTGCAGGACTTGCAGCACAGCTTGTTGTAGCCTGGGATGGAGCAATAGCGAGACAAGACTTCCATCCTACAGAATATTGACTTGTCACCTTGGCAGTGGCTCTCTGAAAGAGAAGAGTGGGACAAGTAACCAAAGGACAGGATAAGGGGGACTCTGTCCCCCAGGGGGCAGCTTGCTGGAGAAGGCAGGACAGAGCCCAGAGGCAGCAGAGGCAAGTGAGCGCAGGTGGAAAGTCTGTGGGTTCAGTCCCCGCCCCGCCCTGCCGTGCCGACTCCCAAGCTCGTGCCTCCTCGCGCCACCCCGGCCAAGTCTGGAAGCTTCCGCATCTCAAAGTCCGACAGGGAAATGAGGCCTCTTTGTTCTCATGGGCTGGTTCCAAGCTCCCATTTTAAAGAACGGGGTTTCGTCAGATCTTCACATTTGACATCCGGGTAGTAACCCCAGTGAAATTCTGTGGCAGAGTTCAACTCTACAGTAATCTATTTAACTATAACAAAATTAAACCTAAAAAGCCAATTCTGAAAGCCAATATGGCAAACCCTACAGCCGTGGCCAAGGCCCCACTACGCCCCGCCACTCCAGGACCCGCCCTGACCCACACTGCCCAGATGGTCTTTGTAGCCCAACGTGCCTACGGGGAAATGGAAAATTGCCCGAACTTTTACGGGCTTCCTTACACTTGCCTCAGCTTACCCAAACGCCTCCTGTCCTGCCACTGCTCCTTGCACCTGGCAGCCCTCCCATTGGGCTGCCGGCCGGTGCCCAGACGAACCTGCTGCCGCCCTGGCCAGTCCTGCCCGGCAGGTGAGGCCGCCTGCCCCTGCGTGCCTCGCGCTGCCTGTGCGCGGGCCACATCCTGCCAGCTGCCCTGCCCCACGCTCGCCCCACGCTCTGTCTTCCTGAAGTCGCACCCTCCTTGCTCCCTCCTCACTCCGCGACATACAAGTTTAGATGACTGACAACAAACCACTCCATAGGACAGAATGCGCCACATGACAGGGGCATGGGACCCACTACCAATTATTGATCACTGACCGAGACGGGCCCCCCACTGCCTGCTATGCCGCTCTGCTCCCCACAAAGAGGTTTCAGACCTGGCCCCACCCCTAATGTGCCCTCCTTTTCCCACTCTCCTTATTTGACCTCATCTCCTAGGAAAGGAAGGGAGGACAGAAGGGGGGGGGGAAGGGCGGGCATCGGACGGGAGCACACCGACAGTTGCCCTGCAACCACCGTGCACAGGCGCTGTCTGCACCCGACGCCCGCCGTGGCCTGCCCAACCCTGCAGTGACAGACAAGCAGCCCCTCCCCTCAAGGGCCAGGGGCTCTGGCATCAGGCTCCCACTCTGCACCGCCTCTGCTCAGGCCTGTCATTTCCCCCAGGCTGTGACTCAGCCAGACCACCAGCCGCAACCTCTGGAGCTTGGCGCTCTGGCGTGCAGCCTGCTGCGAGACACACGCCCCTGAGCCCCGCTGAGTGCCGGAGGCCCCCGAGACGCGGCACGTCCAGCCCAGCCCAGGGCCTCTGCTGGCGCCAGCGGCCTCAATGCATGGCCTTTCAGGCACACAGGCCAGACACCGGCGTCCTCACACCTCCTTCCCTCACTCCCAGCCGGTCACGTCCAAGTCCATCTGCGTTTCCTCCTAGACACCTGTGGGTGCGTCCATGTTCCCCTCTCTCTCCCACCTCCCTGGCTGAGCTGCCTCTTGGCCGTAACGTGGTAAGAGCCTCTGTTCTGGCCTGTCTGTATCCCTGTCCCATCTGGCTATCCTGCTCCAGTTGGAATACTGTTTTCTAACCGAAAACATGACCATGTCACACACACCCCCATTTGAAGCCCGTGACCTTTCCCCTTCACCTCTCCAGCCTCCCCAGGCCTCAGACCCCTGTTTTGTATTGAGCTCCCTTTGGCCACAGGGCCTTTGCACATACTGCACCTCCCTCTGCCTCCAGCGGCCACTCTCATCCTTTAGGTACAGCTGGAACACATCTTCCTCAGGTAGGCATCACCCGACTGCCTGAGGAGGCAAGATCCTGCCAGCACGTGGTCTCATGGTGCCATGTCTTCCCAGCAGGCAAGCTCACATGTGAGATGATTAGTTCCAGACCTTTACATTATCCTGAAAGCTCCAAGGGGCAGCACCCCAGGCTATATTTGGATGGCCCTCTAGTACCAGAGCCTAGCGCAGTCAACCAGAGGATGCATAAAGGTATAAAAGATATGAAGGTATAAATGTATAAAAAGGTATGAAAAAGACAAATATGACTGAGGAAGTCCAAAACAGGGAAATTATGGCTCTTAAACAGCAAAGCTTCATGCAGGAAGAACACGCAGAGGCGTGCACCAGCAGAGGCGTGCACCAGCAGAGGCGTGCACCAGCAGAGGCGTGCTCCAGCAGAGGCGTGCTCCAGCAGAGGTGTGCTCCAGCAGGGGAGTGCTCCAGCAGAGGTGTGCTCCAGCAGGGGAGTGCTCCAGCAGAGGTGTGCTTGAGTAGGGGCGTGCTCCAGCAGGGGAGTGCTCCAGCAGGGGAGTGCTCCAGCAGAGGAGTGTTCCAGTAGGGGCGTGCTCCATCGGGGGAGTGCTCCAGTAGAGGTGTGCTCCAGCAGGGGCATACTCCAGCAGGGGTGTGCTCCAGCATAGGCGTGCTCCAGAAGGGGAGTGCTCCAGTAGAGGCGTGCTCCAGAAGGGGAGTGCTCCAGCAGGGGCGTGCACCAGCAGAGGCGTGCTCCAGCAGAGGCGTGCTCCAGCAGGGGCGTGCACCAGCAGGGGCGTGTTCCAGCAGGGGCATGCTCCAGCAGGGGCGTGCTCCAGCAGGGGCGTGGACCAGCATAGGCGTGCACCAGCAGGGGTGTGCTCCAGCAGAGGCGTGCTCCAGCAGAGGCGTGCTCCAGCAGAGGTGTGCACCAGCAGGGGTGTGCACCAGCAGGGGTGTGCTCCAGCAGAGGCGTGCTCCAGCAGGGGCATACTCCAGCAGGGGTGTGCTCCAGCATAGGCGTGCTCCAGAAGGGGAGTGCTCCAGCAGGGGCGTGCACCAGCAGAGGCGTGCTCCAGCAGGGGCGTGCTCCAGCAGGGGTGTGCTCCAGCAGGGGTGTGCTCCCAGGGGTGTGCTCCAGCAGGGGTGTGCTCCAGCAGAGGCGTGCTCCAGCAGGGGCATACTCCAGCAGGGGTGTGCTCCAGCAGAGGCGTGCTCCAGAAGGGGAGTGCTCCAGTAGAGGCGTGCTCCAGAAGGGGTGTGCTCCAGCAGAGGCGTGCTCCAGCAGGGGCATACTCCAGCAGGGGTGTGCTCCAGCATAGGCGTGCTCCAGAAGGGGAGTGCTCCAGCAGGGGCGTGCACCAGCAGAGGAGTGCTCCAGCAGGGGCGTGCTCCAGCAGGGGCGTGCTCCAGCAGGGGCGTGCTCCAGCAGGGGCGTGCTCCAGCAGAGGCGTGGACCAGCATAGGCGTGCACCAGCAGGGGCGTGCTCCAGCAGGGGTGTGCACCAGCAGAGGAGGCTCAGCCCTGGCTCTGAGCTTTACATGGACAAAATGAGGAGGTAACATGGCTGGCCACAGGACCCAGTATGCAAAGATAAAAACAATCCCTGGCCATTCAGGAAAAGCCCAGGTCTCCCTAACACTGAGACCAAGAAACGTGCTTACGACGTGGAGTGGGGAAGGTGGGGACCTCTCAAGGAGGGGAGGGTCCAGAGATCAAGTCAAAAGGTCCTGAGATATGGCTTACAGGGCTTTTGAACCAGCAAAACACTTTGCTCAGATGAAAATCTTACACAGATGCCCAGGACAGGAAACAGGTAAAGTGAGACTATCCTGTTTGTAGGTGGGGTGAGGGGAAGGTAGGGCTCCCATCCCCAACCCCTTCCTCGCCCCCACGTCTGGCAGCCAGAGCCTGAACACGTGAACCCCCGAGCACAGCCCACAGGAGGGCTCGTGGTAAGAGCTGGGGCAGCCTCCCCGCCCAGGCTTTGACAAGGGAAGGAGCCGGGCCTCATAGTGCTGGGAGAGGCCCACCTGCACACAGTGACACCTCTCCTGCGACCTGTGCCTCCTCCTTCACACAGATGACAAGAATGCCATTAAACAGTTATCATTTGTCTCCCCTGCCAGGTTGGGATCCCTGAAGACCAAGTATCACATCAGTCTAGCACAGGCGTCAGCCAACCACAGTCCACAGGCCAATTCCATCCCTCCACCTGGTTTATAAAAATAAAGTTTTATTGGAACATGGCCATGCCCATGCATTTCTTATCTATGGCTGCTTTCCCGCTACAACGGCAGAGCTGAGTGGTTGTGACAGAGACCATGTGGGTCCCAAAACCCAAATATTTATTCCCTATCTGGCCCTTTAAAGAGCATGTTGGCTGCGCCCTGGTCAAGTGCATGTCTGGGCCAGAGCTTGACATACAGGAAATGTTCAGTAAATGTCCCCTGAGTAAACGGCAATGGTCCATAGGTTGGGCTTTCCTTCCACCTTGTCTACATGGTGGATTTCTGAGCCTGATTTCCTCTGAGCAGTGAGCTGCACTGCTCTCAGTTTTTTTTTTTCTCTCAGTTTTTAAAAATAAAAATAAGTCAATGAATGAGCAATTCAAGAAACACTGGCCAAGAGCTTGGCTGTTCTAATATCATCCTAGAAAAAATTGAAAATAATTACTAATTGCTCTTAAAAGTACACCAGTGGCCACGGAAGGTGGCTCACACCTGTCATCCCAGCACTTTGGGAGGCCCAGGTGGGAGATCACTTGAGGCCAGGAGCTCCAGACCAGTCTGGGCAACCTAGTGAGACCCTGTCTCTACAAAAAATACAAAAATTAGGCAGCCATGGTGATGCACACCTACCATCCCAGCTACTTGGAGGCTGAGGCAAGAGAATTGCTTGAGTCCAGGAGTTCGAGGCTGCAGTGTGCTCTGTCTGGTCAAGCCAGTGCACTCCAGCCTGGGTGAGACCATGCCTCCAAAAAAAAAAAAAAGTACACCAGTGGTTGTGTATTTTTAAGTATTATCAATGACCAGAGAGATGAATGTGTCCTGAGGCATTGGCTGGTGACCGCTTTCCACCAAGATAATTTTGGTTTTATAATACTTGATCTACAGCCATTCCCAGCAGCAATTAACTAGCAAGACTTTGTCTTGTGAATGACAGTCAGCTGCCAAGAGTTGACATGCTTGTTGAAAACTGAAGTCATTGTGCGACACTCCCACGGTCTTGGCTGTAGCCGAATACCACCTGTATTATTATTTGCTTAGGAGTTTCCTTTAAATTAACTCCTTTTTAAACTTAAAATTTATTGTAGAAGAAAATGTTATACTACCATCGTAAAGGTGACCCTAAACATGAATACAAATAACAGTTTCAAGTCCTTTTAGTTAGTTTTAAAGTTAAACTTTGATGCATCAAACTCTCAGGAGATACTCCTGCCTGCAAAACTGACAGGTGGAGGAAAAGGAGCAGATGTGAGAGACGCGGAGGCTGGTCCCAACGGGGACTTTCCACCTGAGGTGGTGGGGAGGGAGGACAGCAGGGAAGACGCTCTGTGGGACCTCGGCCACCCTCCCGTCCCTCTGTGGAAACACTTTGTGTTTTTTCAGTAAAACAGTCGCCCATTTCACCATTCAGAAGTTCATGCACAAAAGTCACAAAAGTGAGTGACACCCTCCTGCCCACATGCCTGCCATGGCACCTGGGCCTTGGGCAGTGTGTCTCTGGCTCTCGCAGGCCCGTTAGAGGACAACTGCCCCTGACCCATCTCTGGGAGGCAGACTGAATGGAACAAAGGACTGGCGGACAATTTCCTTGGTGCTCCTTGTCTCTCTTAAGCTGTGAGTCCTTTTGATGACAGCTCTGGGCGGGCAGGGACCGGGGCCTGGCCCTGCGCCCCATCTGCCCCATGGTGCTGGGCTGCTCCGCACCGTGCCCTCTCATGGTCTCCCAGCTTTCTCACTCCTCCCTGGCAGAAGACTCCTCAGTGGCCCACAAAAGGGAGCAGTTAGCTTCCTACCAGCAGGACACGGCACCGGCCCCAGCTCCTGAGGTTTCTGTTGAACCCTGACCCTCTGCCTGGCCACAGCAAGCAGAGTGAACACGGCCCTGCTGCCCTGACCCTCTGCCTGGCCACAGCAAGCAGAGTGAACACGGCCCTGCTGTTCCCCAGGGTCGCGCTGGGGAGACACGGGCAGGCACAGCTGAGCACACACGCACCCGCCTGCATGTTGGCAGGCTGCCCAGCGAGTCGCCGCGGCCCTCCCCTCCCAGACCCAGACTCTCCTGGGGCTGGCCCAGCCCCCACCTGGGCCACTTGGGCACCTTTCCCTCCCCAAACAAGTAGCCTAGGGCTGAGAACTGTGCCCAGAGTCAGGGCAGGTGACTACTGACCCCGCAGTTCTGCTCCACAGGCTCTGATCCCGAAGATGAGAAGAAACCCCTCTTGGGGGCTTCTCCTGCTTGCAGACCACCTTCTCGGAGGACAGAACCCAGCCACTGCTGCAGGAGCTCGCTCAGCTCCCACATTCAACTTCAGAGTCACCCGGAGGGCCTTCCCAGTTTGTTGTCATGTTTAGAGACGTGCCGGGGGCCCGAGTACCTGCATGGGTCAGCGAAGCTACTGGAATAAGGAGCAGGCAGCCGCCGCTGCAGAGCCAACCCACAGCTCTTCAGCCTCATCCACCAGGCGAGAGAAATGAGCCATCAGCTTGCCCAACCCAAGCAAAGCGCCCAGTTTCACGGAAGTTTATTGAGTTTATTTGTGGGATGCATGACAGGAGGTCTTTCCATCAGTAGTAAGAATAAAAGATTATTTTCACAGTCACTTTGGCACACGCTAACGTTGTCTCATAAAAAAACCGGAAAAGCAACAACAAAGGAACCTATGTAACACGCCATTAAACACACACAAAACACTATGAAACGTCCCTGATAAACCAGAGTGCACACAGACAGCGCGGTGCCCAGGGCGCACTGCGCCTCCCTGGCTGCCCAGCGCTCGCCCAGCTCGGCAAAGCTGCAAGTTAACAGTCGTGAGGATCAGGACGCAGCACACGCCGCTATGTACATGACAGTGGCCAGAGCCGCAGGCCGGCGGTGCTGTGGCCGGCCGTGGAGGGCGGTGCGCGCTGCGTGGTCACGCAGAGGGCTGGCCAGTGTAAGGCCCCACACAACATTGGCGCTGCTGGCCCAGCGGGTCACGCGCGACTCCCTCCCTCGGGGACCGAGCCCCAGGATGTGTGGGCGCTCAGCGAGGGGAGCGAGGCCGTCGGAAACCTTGAACTTGGCGAAAGGTGGCTGGATCCACCGGCTCCCGACACTTCCCTTGCCTCCTACCTGGACCACAACCCGCTAGGAAGCTGGCGTTAGCAGCCAAGTCTGTTACCTTTCAACTTTAAGGCATTTTCTACGTAGTTTCTCTAAGCAAAAAAGCAATAAAAATTGAGGTAATTCTGTATTTGCTCTCACTGGCAGGTGAGGCACATCCGTACCCATCTTGCTCCCGCTCAACCTATGGACCGGGTCTTGTGCACACGATGAGAAAGGCCATCGGGGCTGATGGACAGAGAATGGAAGCTGGGGACTCCCAGGTTCCCCCCAGGGACATGACCCCTGCCTGCTTCGTTTGACCTGGACCCCTGAGAGCACAGGGACGGGCGGGGGCTGTGTCAGCTGGACGCAAAGGCCGGGTGGAAGCAGCCACAGTTCCACGAGTCAGGACGCTCAGCAAAGGGTGGCAGCAGCAGCGGTGGTGGCAGCCGGAAACCCCTGGCACCGCGGGAAACCTGGGCTCGGGTCCCCGCACAGCATGGACGTGAAACCACACGCCCCAGGGACCCCTCCGGCCGCGCCCTTGGTGGGTGGCGCGAAGGGGCAGCCAGTCCCCCCACCTCTACCCTCAGTTCAGCCCGGTGGCGGGCGGCCCCATGGCGAAGTGGTCACATTCTCACTGTGGCCTCTGACCCCTCCAGCACCACGACAGATCTTTGCCCCTTTACAAGCCGTCACCAACAGGTCCTGGCCCCGACACAAGGGGCTAGAGCCCCAGGCCACGCCTCTGCCAGGCTGGCCCTGCCTGCACGGCTCTGGAGACGCCGAGCACCGAGGCCCGGGAGAGAACGGATCCACACCCACGGGCGCTCGAGTCAGGGGAGCTTTCCATAGAGAGAGAGCAGGGGGGCCCACGGCAAGCTCCACAAGGCGCAGGGCATGCACTGAAGGGCAGAGGCAGAGTTATAAACCGGGCGGTTACTTGATGAGATCTTCTGCATGGGTGAGTCGGGGTCTGGGCGGGACAGCCACTGCACCACGTAGCTCTTCTTGGAGGGGTTGGACATGTTTCCTAGAGGGAGGAGAGAGGGCTGCAGCGGCTGCAGGCAAGGGCTGGCCCAGCCTGGGCAGAGCGTGTTGTGGTGGCTGTGCTTTAGGGGCACCTGGCGCTCTGGGCTTGCCGAGTGGGCACAGTGCCGCGAGGCAGGGGGAGGTGGCTGCAGAGGTCAGGGCACATGCCACTCCCTCTGCTTCCCACCAGGTAAAGGCCCAGCCCTGGCCCAGAGGGCTCTGCTTCTCCAAGGTCACTGCGTCCAGCCACTTCTGGGGAAGAGCCAAGCCTGCCTGAACCACGCCCCCAGCCCGGACCCTGGGCTCGCTGGGGCAGGGAGCAGAGGGCTTACCAGGACAGGGGCCAAGCCTGCAGGTCCTCGCTGTCTCCGGCCGCTCCTCCTGGCAGATGCCGAAGCTGTCGTCTGCGGTGCGGCACAGCACCGGCCTCTCCTGGGTGCCATTGCCACAGGTTACCGAGCACTGCGGGAGAGAGTCACCAGGCACCATTCGGTGCCCCAGGCATGGGAGCAGGTGGGGGCAGAGCGCAGGAACAGGCTGCCTTAGCCCACCGTCAGGGCATGCCCCAGTCTCCTGGGCTCTGAAGAGGACGCACACGTGTCCGTCTCTCCCAGTGGTTGTGAGTTAGCAGTGTCCAGAGGCTCGTGCGGGCCCCTGGGAAAGCTCTGACCAAGCCCGGGAGGCTCTGGCCCCAGCACCCCCAGACTCAAGTCTCTGCCACCAGTGCCCTCACTGACCCCGCCAGCCTAGCACCCTCTCTGCCCTGCCACGCTGATAGGGAGGGGCAGAAGGAGCAGTCGTGCCCAGCCAGGCCCAAGGAGAACTTTCCAGTCCTTCCGGTGTGTGGGAGAAAGGGTTGACTCAGCAGACCTGGGTTGCTCAAACCCTGCGTATTCACTACAAGGGCCTGTTTTTAGGACCGGCTCCTGTGAAGGTCCTGGGAATCAAGCCCGTGGAAGGTTCAGTCTGCTAAGAGTGCTTTTGCATGCGTGAGGCCTGTCATGCCATAGCAGTTGGCCCAGGTAGTTCATACCAACAGTGTGACTTATGGGGAATACCTGCTTTCCCTCTGCAGCTGAGGTGAGTCACATGGACACTAAATACCTGTGTGGCCCCCTGGCATACCAGGCCTGTGGGCCGGCTGTCCCAGCTCATGTCAGCGGCGGCCTGGCCTTGGCTGGCGCTTGGCCCCTGCCCTGAGCTGTCCCTCTGGCCTTTGAGCCCACTCTCCTTATTCTTCCCAGCATGCCTCTTAGCTCCCTCCCGCCAGCTGGGCTGGCCTTCTCGACGGCCCCTCCAGCCTCTGAGATGAGACCTAGACCTCTCACGTGCAGGAGCCCTGAACAGCCCATTGTGCCTTGGAGCCCAGGCTCCTGCTTCCTGGGATTCCAGACCCCCATGGCGCCCCGGGGCCTCCGTCTGCGCAGCGCAGACCACGTTCCAGTGGGCCTCTCAGCAAAGCACCGACCACATGGCAGCCACTTGTGCCCTGAGACCCATGGGACGTGGCCCATGACAGGACTTGTGTCCAGGCCCATGTGCCAAAGTGGAATGCCCTGGCCACCTCGGTCCCACCCAAACTCAGTTTGGGGCCAAGGGTATGGAGCCAGGGGGACGGCTTACCTGGGACCAGGGCCCGGCCCGCCACCAACCTGGGCAGAGCTCACGGTTGCAGGCCCGGCGGCTCTCAGGCCGGGCGTCGTTGCAGTGCTTGGTGTGCACGGAGCGGGTGGTGTTGTTGTGCATCAGCTGAACACAGCGCACAGAGCGCACCTGCATGCCTGTCCGCCCGCAGCTCTGACTGCACGGCTCCCACTCGCCCGTGACCCACCTGCCAGGGCAGAGTGGCAAGTAGTTAGGCCCCTGTAGTCCCCGGAGAGCCAGCCCAGCTGAACTCCAGCACCAGTCCCTGCAGCCCAGCTGGACAGTGAGAACAGAGAGAAGGCAGCCTCCTCTGCTCCCTGGCACACATTTTCCTGTTCTTACAAAGCTGCCAGCTGTGCAGTGCTGCACAAGGCTCAGTTGCCCAAGGTCCTACTGAGGACGAATCTCATGCATGTCCCCCACTGGGAGACCCCTGGTGGAGCCAGTGGCTGTGGAGGACACAAGCTTCAGGAGCTTTGCCTGCCTTTTCAGGGCCCTGACCCTGCCACCTGTCCTGACCTGCCAACACCACGAATCCTCTGGCAAAGCTCCAGAGCAGTGTGGACTCTTGGCACCCTGTCCTGCACGGCCCCCGTCTGCCTAGTTACTGACCATCTTCCTGTCTCAGCGCCCTGCAAAAGGAACCTGGGCCCAGAAGTGCAGCTGGCCAAGCCCCAGGCCTGACATCAAAGCCCTGCTTAGGAGACATTACCACAGGACTGGGAGCCAGCCCTGGGCCCTCTAAGCCTCAGTTTCCCCAACTGGGCATCACCATTTGTTGTCATTTCTAAGAGGTACACCACTGCTTTAGGTTAGTAGGTCCGAAGCTGGGGTGTGCCTTCCATCCTGTGGCATCTTAGACCCCAGGAAGCATGGTTGCCCATGCCTTGGGCAACGCCATGCCCAGAAGTTCAGATCCCATGCCTCCCTCTGTGGGAGCCCCTGGTAGCTTCTGGCCTCTCCCCATCTAGTGGCCAGGGGCACTCACACAGGCTGGGAGCACTCCTGTGGGTTGCATGCCCGGCGGATGGCTTTGGGCTTTGCAAGGGCGGCACAGAAGCCTCGGTGCACCATCTTGTGATCCAGCCTCCGGCGGCAGCCATACTTAGTGAACTGGGACCCTAAAGACAGAAAGCTGGAGGGGGCTCTATAGGGCAGCACAGCCCCCCAAGGGGACATGGAGGGGTGGGCTCCAGCAGCATTCTCGGCCCCATTCTCTTCCCCACCCCTGACGGGACAGGGCCCCAAGCCCAGTGGGGGTGCTGGGAGGAACCCTGGGAGGAGGCCAGACGGTGCAGAGAGAGGCCACCTTCTCCCCACCCGTCCCTTTCCTGGACCCTCCCGTGGTCCCTTCACCGGATCCTGGCCAGAGTGGAGGCCGCATCTCCTCTCCATCGCGACTCAGCGTGCGCGGGGCCTGGGGGCCACCCGAGCCGGGAGCTGGCCGACACTGGCGCACGGCCCGTGTGTTCTGCCACCACACTCGTGGTGCAGCAGTTCTCAACGGGGCCGTTCCCCCAGTGGGGCGGTGTCTAGGGCATCTGGGGTTGTCACAACGGGGGGAGAGGTGCTGCACCACACCCTGCAGTGCACTGGGCAGCACCCGGAGGAATGGCAGAGCCCAAGAGGAAAAGGGTGGCGCAGCAGCGAACCCCCAGCCTGGGGGGCCAGACAACAGGACGAGGCAAAGCCGGCCATCCCGGGCATCGGGGCGCATCCCAGGAAGCAGAGGAAGGGGGTGCTGATTTAGTGGGGAGGCCTGTGCAGAGGGGGGCAGGCATACCCAGGAAAAGTACCCAAGGCCAGTGTGGTCAGGGCCTAGGGGCACGGGACAGGGGTGCCAGTGCTCCAGGAGCCGCCAGCAAGTTCCACGGACCACGGAGGCTGAGGGGAACTTTGTCTTTTATCCCAAGAGCAGAGGGAGCAGCTGAAGACTATGACACCAGGAATGGACATGGTCTGATGTGTCCCCCAAGGTCACTCTCTGGGCAAGACTGGACACACCAGTCGGGAGGAAGCTGCAGGACCAGGGGGTGACTGGGAAGGTGGGAATAGCAGGCAGGTCTGAGAGACACGCAGGAGGGAGAATCAGCAGGATGTGCCGATGAAGTCCTGGCAGGACGCAGAGGCACAGCAAAAGGTGGGTGTGTCCTGGCCACCTGCCTCCTATCTTGTCCGCCGCCAGGGGCAGTGAGCACCTTGGACAGACCACAGCATCCTGTCCCTCTGTATGTCCCATGTCCCACCCAAATGTGGGCTGTCTGAGGTCCAGGGCCGATGGGACCCCTCTGTGCCCAGCCCTGCCCCAGGAAGGTCTACAAGGCTTTTCTGAATGAACAGAGGGAGGAGGCTCCCAGAGGTGTCCCCAGCACTGCCCATGCCTTGCCTGTGCCCTGTCCTGCCGGTGACATGGTGGGACCCGCCCACAGGCCAACCTCCCGCCAGGCAGGCCGGCCCTCCACGCCGAGGCAGGCCATGCCAGCATGGTCTCGTGCCGCCTTTGGCCTGATGCCCCAGCACCCGCCCTCCTGCCCGCCCGCTGGCCCCTCCTAGCCTGGCTAGGCCCTGGTCCACCTGGGCGAAGGTCCCTGCCGAGCCCCCCAGGCCCAGGCCCAGGCCCAGTCTTCTCACCTTGGCCCATGCCCAGGCTCACTCTGGCCTGAGGCCCGGCAGTCAGCAGGCACCGTCTACTCTGGAAGCCCCTCGCCAGAAGGCAGACCTCCTCGGGGCCGCCGGCCCGGCCCACGCTCCACTCTCGCTAGGCCCTGCCCCAGGGGTGCCCCCAGCTCCTCGTTGCCACCCTCGTGCCACTCAGGGCCCCAACTCTGAGAAGCCCCTCACCTCCGCCGCAGGGCTTGGAGCAGGGAGACCACTTCTTCAGGGCCCACTCGTAGACCACAGAGTCTTCTTCAAGGACATTGTTGTCATCGACATTGAGTGAGTCCTCGTGGATCATGTATTTGTACGTCAGTGAGATCCTGGCATCTCCTTCTGGGATGACCTGTGCCCACCCGGGACGACTGTGAGTGCCTGCCTGGCTCTCCTCCCTTCCCCCTCGGCCCATGCAGGAGGTCAGCCCCAGTGCATATGCTTATCCTGCTGTTCACGGCAGCCATGCTCTGCCAGATCTCCTGGGGCACCGAGTCCAGGGACACTGAACCATACGCCAGGGGACACGGGGCTAGGTCCCTGCAACCCTCTGGTCACAACTTTGTAACTGACCTGTGCAACCTTGTTTTATGTGGGATTCTGTTTAAAGACACTTTACTTAATATATATTTTTGATTCATTAACATCAAACAAGCAGGGCGGCACAGGGTGGACACAGCTCTCCTGGCTAGCACCGCACCTGTTTGCAGGTGCGCCCACGTGTGAGGCACAGGGCTGGCTGGCTGAACCCACCCCTGGCGTGCTCACCTTAGGGGAAAGGCTCCAGGGCACCAGAAGCTTACCTGTGTGTTTAGACTTTTTGACAAATAAAACCTATAATTTATGCAATTAAAATTAAATTTTAAGAAGTGATTTGAAAATCCAGCCCCCTCAGTAATCCCCACAACCAGGAGCAGCCTGTGGTCCTGGAACCAGGAGATGTGAGGTGTGGTCCCAGTCAGAGACATGTCTGGTGTGACCTGGCGCTGGTGTCTGGCTTCCTGGGCCCACTCCCCACCCCAAGGGTGTCGCAGGGTTTCGGTGTGACAGCACACGTGAATGAGCATGGCGGATGGTAGCTGCAAATGTCGTTCAGAGAGGGGCACCGAAGCCTTAGAGGAGAGAGTATGCCCAAGGTTGCCTGTGGGTCATGTCGGGCCCAGAGCCCCGACTTATGGGCCCATGTCCCTTCGTGGCTGTGACACTGCATTGGAGACCTTGGGTGCAAAGGGCAGGCCAAAGCAGCCCAGCAGAGCGCAGCCCGGAGCACAGGAGGCGTGGGGCTCCAGGCTGCCTGCCCTGCCCGGGGCCCACGCCCGCTGCCCGGGCGGCAAGGAGGCCTCTGCTCACCAGGACGGTGATGGAGCCGTGGAGGGGGCCCATGGTCTGCAGCGTCTCCCGGCCGTCCTCGTCCCTGTACTCCCATTCCACGCCCATGGCGATGAAAGATTTAGAAGTGGCATCCATGTCGTTCTCGTTTAAGATGGACTTGCCTGTCTCCAGGCTCTTGACGGCTGAGAAGGGAAGGGGAGCCCGCGGCCGCCGTCACCCCGGGGCAGGGCCCAGGTTGGCTGGGGCAGGCCCGCAGGGCACGCTGGTGTGGCGGGGGGTGTCTGGACAGCAGCCCCTCATCTCCCCAGCTGCTCTCTGCCAGGGTCCGTCTGTGCCACTGACACCCAGATCGCTCTGGGAGCCAACGTGCCCTTCGAGGCCCTGCGGGACTGGACCGCCCTCCACGCACACCGTTTTCCTGCCTGAGTACCTTCTTCTGGATCGGCACCCCCAGGCCTTGGAGGCAGGGCCTCCTCTGAAGCAGCTGCCCAGGCCCCTCCTCCGACTCCTCAGTGGGAGCCGGTGGCCACCAGGCAGCATGGAGGGAGGGTCTCCACCGGCACAGGACTCTGCTGGACATGAGGGGCAAGCCCATGTCCCTAGACAGCAGGATCTCCCCACCCCATCGGTGACTGGGGCCTGGCGGAGGTCCCAGCAGCTCCACTCCCCCGACTCCACGAAGAGGCTTGGCCTGGCTGGGGCCTCAGGCCCCTGGGCCTCTGCAGACCATCCTGGAGGCAGGACTCTGGCTGGTCAGGAGCACATACTTCCTGCAGCGTGGAAGGTGGCTTCTGGGGCTTCTGGGTGACTTTGGGGCCACAGACAGGGCACGAGTGAGGAAGTCCCACGTAACTGTCCACAGCATGGAGAAGCCTTGGTTGGTGCTGGTGGGCCCGCCTTCTCCCTGGCACTCGCCCCTCCGAGGAGGGGCTTCTGCCCCAGAGACCTTGGCAGGAATCAGCTTTGGGACAGAGGTGTCTTTTTGTTTGGGAATTACCTTTTATGTTTACCTTCTACCTAAAGTGCTGGATTTGCATTTAAGGTAGCAACACAAAGATTCCTCTTAAAATAAGCGAGAGAGGAGAGCGAGTATTAACAGGGCAGTGTTTGCGCTTGCTGCCACGGGCTCTGGACCGCAGCGGCTCCGGAGCCCCGGACGCAGTCCAGCCTGGGGACAGGGACGAGGGCGGAGCTGGGGTTGGGTGAAGGGACTTGTCCAGGAACCCCAGTGGTCCCCAGCACCTTTGGACAGGAGCCTAGGCTAGGTGGAGCCCCTGAGAGAGGCCCCGGGTAGCTGGGAAGAGGCACCCAGAGGTGTTAGACTATCCAAATTTTTAAGAGGTACCTATTTTAGGTGGAATCTCTTGAATTTAAAAGTAAACTAGTTGAAAACATGCCAGTACATGGTGTGAGCCCATCCTCTGGCTGGCCTTGGTGTGGGCGTGCCTGCTGCGCACAGAGCCTGCCCGCCTCCCAGAGGGCCGGGGCCTACCCACCTTGACCTGCAGACCAGGGGACCGAAAGTCACCCTGGAGCCTGCTGGCCTTCCTCACACACACATCCCTCCACAGCCGCTGCCAGTGGAGCTCTCTGGCCTCTCCGCAGGGAGAAGACCCCTAGCAAGGCTGCAGGCCAAGGCACAGGTGGCGGGGGCGTTGCCCCGGCTCAGGTTCCAGCAGCACAAGCCAGGCTCTGAGCCCTGCACTCTGCCCGTCCCGGAAGGGCCAGGTGTCACGGACACCGAGTTGTCCAGCTCTGAGACTCACCCAGATGGTGGCTGGTGGTGTCTACCTCCTGGATGAGCAGGTGTCTGGCTCCCGTGGGGATTTCAAACATCTTGATGTGACCTTCGTTTGGATGTGGGAAGACAAAGCTGATGAGAAGGGACGAGGCCTCTCGAACCCAGACAGGAAAGCAGGGCCTCGCCCGAGAAGGCGGTGCCACTGCGGCACTCCCCACGCCCGGGGTTCCTGGCTCTGCGCGCCCACCAGACAGAGGCTGCCAGGAGAGCCGCTGGCCGCGTCTGGGTGGGCACAGCGGGGCCGGTGCTGCCTCCTGCCCTGGCCCTCTGCCCACATTCGACCCTAGGTGCCCCCTCGGCCTCCTCCACTGGGAACCCAGGTGGGAGCGCTGGCCCTCGGATCGCCCAGCACCCAGCTAAGACGCCACACCTGGGAGGGGCTCTCAGCAAGCGTCCGGCCTGTCCAGACTAGAGACCTGCAGACTAGAGACGCGCACTCCCGTGGGCTGTGGCGAGGCCTGCTGAGCACCTGACTCGGGGGCTTCCTGCTCATTTGCCCCCCAGCCCTCTTCTAAAAGAGGCAAATCAAGTGGCTTCTCCCCATTTCAGAGGCAGGACAGCCAGGCCCACAGAGGTGCCGCTGGCTGCTGCAGCTGCCCAGAGGGCCGTTTTCCCAGAGCCTACCTCGCTGGGGACCCCACGTTCCGCAGCCCCGCCTGCAGGGACAGACCTTCTGTGTGCCCAGGCTTCAGGCTGCACTGACAGGCCAGTGAAGCCCTACTGACAGCCAGCTGGGGTAGGAGAGAGCTGGGGACAGACAGGCCAGCTGGGTGTCCCTGGAGGGCTGGGGGCTCCTGACCTCCAACAAAGATTCCAAAGGCCCAACCTGGGCACCCTTACATCCTGGCATTCTCTGCCCTGCCCTGTGGGGCCCCCACTCTCTTCTGCCCTGACTTAGGGTTCTCCCTCTACCTCATCCTTGGCCCCCATCCCCAGCGAGAACAGTCATGAACCCAGACAGCCGCGACGATGAGCGGGCCCAACCCAGCCTGGGCACGAGGAGCTGCAGACACTCAGTCCCGGGCGAGGGCTCACTCACCGTGCTTCTTGGGTGAGCGCGTGAACGTGCCCTTGACCACTTTGCAGTGACTGTTGTCCCCTCCGCACACGCCACACTTGTCCTCCTGCTTGCTGGAGCCGATCACCCCATCACAGCCCACCTTCTGCAGGGGGAGGGCTCGTGAGCACTGGAGACACCCCTCTTCACTCAGGCCCGAGCCTGGCCGCGACCTGTGTCCCCAGGGCTCCTGGCAGCCCCCCCACCCCAAAGCGCTCAGTCCACGATGCAGGGGAAGGAGACCAGGCTCTGGAGCAAGACAGACGCCACTTGGCGTGTGCAAACCAGCGTCCTCACTGTGCCTCGGTCCCCACAGCTGGGAAGTGTGAGCTGCAGAACCCAGATAGGGCCACATGCCCAAGACTGCTTGGCATGGCACAGCCGGCCTCTGGGCACGTGTCAGAGGCCTGGCCTCGGCCCCTCCACGTTGCCCCCTCTCCCAGGTCACCCATGCAGCACAGCCCCAGAAGTGGCCCCTCCAGGGCCCCACCCAGAGCTAGGCCTGGATGCCCCAAACTCTGCTCTGCACCAACGATACAACATCCTTTTTAGTCTGTCTTGAGGGTATCTGGGCAGGAAGTGGCAAGAGCTGGCCCTCCCACGCTGCCACTGCAGTAACTAACATTACTCCACAGAGTGAGGGTGTCGCCTTGCTGTGGCTACCTGGTAGAAGAAGTAACATATTTGGGTTCTGCCACAGTTTGAATGCACCAAAACTCATGTTGAAATTTAACTGCCATAGTAACAATAGTAAAAGCTGGGGCCTTTAAGAGATGGCCAGGTCCCGAGGGCTCTGCCCTCATGAATGGATTCATGCTGTCATCCACTGAGTGGGTTCCTGATAAAAAGATTGAGTTCAGCCAGATCCCCTCTCTCTCTATGATACTCGCGTCTGCTTTCCATCTTCCACCACGGAATGACCCTTGCTTGCTGCCTGTGCTGTGCTGTTGGATTTCCCATGCCAAGAACCAAGAGTTAAATAAATCTCTTTTCTTTAGAAATTACCCAGTCTGTGGTATTCTGTTATAGTTGCAGAAAATGGACTAAGACAGGCTCTTTTATTCCTTGCAGCCCTGACAGCACCCTGCTCCTGGAGCCACAGAAGCTCCATGGGAGCAGCCCTGCGTATCAATGACCTTGAGCATACTGCCCAAGCTACTTCCACATAGATGCCCATACCAACCTTTCTTGGAACTAAACAGGGAAGATAATCTCTCCTCTCTCCTCTGGGCTGGTTTGCTCTCTGTGGCTGTCCCAGAGTGCATGAGAGCAGCACAGGTTTCCCTCTTTGCCCTGGCTGCCAGGAAGCACAGGGCCAATTCTCTTTTAAAGACCCTCCTACCACCACCACTAGAGAGACTCACTTCCTTTCCCTTTGCTCTTTGATTTCTGATTTTTGTCTTGCAAGGACCTTTGAGGGCAGGGGCTCTAGACCATGGAGAGCTACAGAGTAGCAGTTCATGCATCATTTGTGAATGTGTGGATAGGAAGAAGTTCATGATCTTTGAATTTTTCTTGATCTATATTTTATCAAACCCTTTTTTTTTTTAAGACAGAGTCTCTGTTGCATAGGATACAACCTCAAATTCCTGGGCGTAAGCGATCCTCCTGCCTCAGTCTCCCAAGTAGCTGGGACTGCAGGTACACACCACCATGTCTGGCTAATTTTTCTATTTTTTGTAGCAACAAGAACTTGCTCTCGCTCAGGCTGGATTGTAAGTTTTTTGACTCATTTTTGGAAGTAAGTAGGGTGGAAAACAATTATTAGACAAACATGCTCCTATTTAATTTAATGGTGTGGGGGCGCCTCGATGGCCCTTCGGCGGCGTCTCAGTGGCACAACAAGAAAGGTATTTCCCCCCCTTCGTGTGAAGTAGGGTGAGGCAATTAGCGAACAGCACACATCTGTTTATACTCATACCTCCAGTTATCTCTTGGGTTGTGAAGAAAGGCAAAAGGGAGGTGGGATGCACAGGGATTGTGCAGAATTCAAAGAAAATTAATCACTTCAAAGGTCAGCTCATGGCCATCGCTTAATTAGTTTGTGCCTTGCTAGGGCCCTTTGGGGGGGGGATAAAAGGCACCCTGCAATTCAGGTCGGGGTCCTTGCCTGCGAGAGTGGCCACTGCGTTGGTGCTCTGGGGCATGGACCCTGGCTAGCCAGAAAATAAACCTCCTCTTGTGTGATTGCATCCTCGATGTCTCTGCTTTTCTGTCCGGTGGGGCTGTGGAAGGTCA